ATATAGTAGTAGTAGTAGTTGAAAGAAAATCTCTTACATTTCAGACAAATGGTACACAAATTTGGTTCTCAATGGCGAGGTGGGATCAGAGATATTCTCCCTGTTGTTAACAGGAACACTAAAAAAGAGAAAAACAAGTAAAAATTATGAAATTAACAGATATTGCTATTTTTGGTAATAGGTATATTGCTAGGGCAGTACTTTTTCATGAGGGCATTTAGTGAATTTAGCATTCTACTAGTAAAAGAATCTATGGTGATGCTCATACTCAGATTTCACAGTAATTTGCTATAATTTAAGCATTTCCCATTCAAAATAAACCTCACAATAGCTCCTCTGTCAGTGATGTTTGCTTACTTGGCAAATCCATTTTTCCCTTTAGCAATCAGCTCAAGTTTTACCCTCTCTATGGTTTCTATGATAACTTAGATCCCATCTCCACCCCTCTATAAACTCCTTCCTCTGTAGTCTTATTAAGCTCATCTATCTTTATTATAACAAACACCATATCATAGTTGCTTGAGGCATAACTTCCCTAGACTACATAGTTCCTTGAGGCAAAAACAGTTATGTATTCCCAGTGTCTCACTACTTGTGTAGTATGTGGAATATGTTTAATATTTGTGGAATGAATGGACAGTTATTAGTACCCACAATTTTGAAATGCATAAATTATAAATCAGAGAGGTTAGCAACCTATCCAAGATCACACAAGTACTAAGTAGTAAAGCTTTAGCTGGAATCCAAATCTCTTGATTTGGTGATTTCCATGAAAAATTAGAAAAATTAGATAGTTCAGGTGATCTTATTAACTTGTACATTTTTTCATCTATGTCATTTTTCTCCTCATATGCACTCATCCCTACCAAAAGATACAAAGAACAACCTGTGTTTCCTAACTCAGTGGTTAGCAATAATATTCATATAAATATCCAAGCAAAAACCTGGATACCATCCCTGGGTCCTCCCTTTCTATCATGGCCTATATTTAATCCCATGTCACAGTTCAATTGATTCTAACTCTTTGCATCTGTGAAATCCATCCACTTGGTTCAGGACACTGCCTCTTCTCTCCTAGCAATGCCTTCCTTCAGTCTTGAACCCCTACAATGCATTGGCTACATTATTGCCAAAATGGCCTTTCTAAAATACGAGCCTAATTTCCTTCTCTGCTTAAAACCTACAGTGTCTCTCCAGAAATACCAGGGTATCTTTAATGACATGCCTGTCACTCTCCAGCCTCATCTCTCACCATGCCACCCTCTTTACACTACATGCCAGCTCTAAACAACAGCTGACAATTCCACAAACTTACCAGGCTTTTCTCATCTCCAAGTTTTAATAAAAAAAGTTCTAACATTTACTAAGCGCTTACAGTGTGCCTGGTACTATGCTAAATATATTACATGATGATCTCATATAATCCTTATAGCAACCCTTATTCCTTTTCCTTTAGAATGATCTTCCTCACTTATCAACCCTGTCGTTCCCCACACATTTACCCAATTAATTCCCACTCAGCCAGCTAACAGCCATCACTGACTTCCACTACTTTCTCCAAACATTCTTCCTGCCTCCACTGCCACTCGGCACCAGCCCACAAGGATTGGCCTGGGTGCCCTCTAATATCCTATGCCTATTCCTGTCATCATAGCATCTACAATACTGTATTGTAATTGGCTTTTTAACTGTTTACAGTTCCCTACTCAACTGTAAATTCTCCAACAGTCCCCAACTCCAACCCTCAGTGGCATTCAGTAGCACTTAATAAATGTTTGTTGAATGAATGAATGGACCTATTCTTTATTAGCTTGAAAGGCTCTAGTAATATCAGAAAAGGCTTTAAATATTGATAGAGATAAGGGAATAAACATGTATGAATGTCTACTTTGGGTCAAACAGTGTTCTAAACACTTTTACACATTATCACATGTAATTCTCACAACCCTATAAAGTATATGTGTATGTCTACATATATTGTATCCCTTTTTAATAGTTTAGGAAACAGGCTCAAATTAGTCAAGTAATTTACCCAAAGTCATATCGCTAGGAAGTGATGGAGTTGGGAATAATGCCATAATGACATGGCAATAATAATAGAACTTTTAGAAATGAAATCAGAGAACCATTAATACACATCAGGCAAAGTGGATGAAGTAACTGAATTATCTGAATTCAGAAAAAAATATATCATAAAAAGAAGGTCATAGAAAAAAAGATGAATTAGAGAATTATAGAGTGCCATTTAAAAATCTGAAGATTTAAACATAAGATGTTTAATGTCATGAATGCCATCCATCCCTTCCAGTCGCATACTTCTCCAACTGTTCTCTCTCTAACAGGGAGCTCAGTGGTATAGAGTCTGAATGGTCCGAGAAAACCTGCCAGAGGAAGTGATGTCTAACCTAAGACACGCAGGTTGAGAAGAAGTTAACCAGGCTAAGAGAAGTGGGAGAAAGGGTTCTTCAAGCAGAGGAACAACATGCAAAAATAGAAGAGGAAGAAAGCACTATGAGTGGGGGAAAATAAGGGCACTACAATAGTTCTGGATTTTCAAACATGAGGTGAAAAAAAGTGTCAATGGAAGAGCTTGAGCATTATGCTCAGTGTTGTAGGTTAGGCCGAAGCGTTTGTAATTCATCGCAGTAACAATGTTGGATAAACCAAGGTATTTTAAGAAGTATAGTAACAATCGGGGGAAAAGGAGACATATGTAAAATTTTAGACAAAAAAAAAATAAATAAAAAAGTATAGTAACATAAAGATAATTGGCATGTAGGTTAGGTGGATGAATAACAGCAAATACTTTTTTTAGTATTCTCTAAAAAGAATAGATCTCAATTTATCTTTATAGTAGCCCCATGAGATATATACTATTTCCCCTATTTAAAGATGAGCAAGTTGCCCTGACCAGTTAGACTCAATGGATAGAGCATTGGCCTGCAGGGTCCCAGGTTCAGTTCATGGTCAGGGCACATGCCTGGGTTGTGGGCTCGATCCCCAGTTGGGGGTGTGCAGGAGGAAGCCGATCGATGACTCTCTCATCATTGATGTTTCTATCTCTCTCCCTCTCCCTTCCTATCTGAAATCAATAAAAATATACATTTTTTAAAAAGATAAGCAAGTTGAAGTTTATAGTTAAGTAACTTGCATACAAGAGCACAACTAGTGACCCAACCAGAACTTGAAACAAAATTTTAAAAACATTATACTTCTTCCATTGATTAGATGGAATTGAATGCTATGTTGTTTCAGAAAGAGGTACCCAATTGTTAGGAAACTATTCAAGGCAGAAGTGTTCACAAGGAAGGCTTTACTGATTGGATCCAATAGGAATCTCATTTCTTAAATATTATTAGCATTTTGGCAATTAAACATCAAGACTCGGACTACATGTGAAATGAAATGAATATCTGGAGTCCAATGGACAAGTGAAAACTAAACCAAATTAGTCAATTAGATTAGTCTGCCTTAGCTCTTATGCCGCCACTTGAGTACTATGTAAAATACTCTGTAGTTCAGATGTGGTACAAAATAAAGCTTTTACTGTTATCTAAAGTTTCATTTTGAACTGATCAAGAGCAACTAAAAGTTCAGCTTCAAACGGAAATAACTCTAAATAAACAGGGCATGTTGGTGACTAGATCTGAACCTTCAGTTATCATCTGACCTAGCTGACTGGTTTTAGACTGTATGGAAACCTTGTTCCTGCTCCCAGCTTGTGCATAATTGACTCAGGTCCATTAACTAGATTCAATCTCCTGTCAGGTGCTACAAATCACAAAGAGGAGCAAGACATAGGTATTACCTTCAAACAATGACTGATATGACAGAGTATCTCTGCTTACAACATGAAGAAATGAAATATAAAATACCACGTACATAATCCTGATGTTCCTCTCCACAATTTCTTGAGTAGGATCATCGGGAGAAGGGATGACCCTAGAAGTAACCCGGGCACACTTGCATTTGTTGTCTGCAAGAACAGTCCTTTCATCTTCGTCTTGGGCTGGAAAAATACAATGTATTAAGAAGAAATGAACTTCGGGTGGGGGGGGGTGGTAAGAGCTGGGAGGAGGAAGATAGAAGGGGGAAAATGGGAGATATCTGTAATACTATCAACAATAAAATATATATTTTTTTAAAAGAAGAAGAAACAGGGATGAAAATCTACTTATCAACTTTGTATTGAGTTAATCTTATTTCCTGCAGAAAAAAATCAGTTTTATGGTTGATCAATTTCAGCTTTCTCCATTTGTTCTCCTTCCTAATCTAAAATAGCTGAGTAGAATCTCACAACGTAGTGAAGGACATCCAAATGTACTCCAAAAGGAATTTTCTTCTTCCCTTGGATCAGTCTAGGGGCACCTGAGCTGAAAGAATTCTGGTTTTAAGCCAATGTTTTTAATGGAGCACAGGTCTCTGAATGATGTAGCCTTGTAAACGTGAGTACCAGATGCCAAAATAAGAGAGAAAACAAAAATCTAGACTGGATTTCTCTCAGACCAAAGCATTCCATTCAAAAGTGAACAAAAACTAACATTAGCCTTTGTAAACCCAGTGTGAAATGCCACATCCTTCACTGGACTCCCCTTTATATACATAGTTTGTTACATTGCATTAGAGCTGAGCACAGATACACTTCCCCCCAAAATAACCTTCCTTCCTACGATTTTTAAATATTCTCCACTACAGTCTTCCTAAACTTAATTTATTCTTCTTTTTTGTAGTAACAATCAGGTTATTATGATATAATGATCCAATCAAAATAACAGGTGCTATATTAATATTCCTCATAAGAATTATTTTTAAAGTTTCAGTATATATAGATATAAAATGTTACAAATTTGCAAAAACAATTCAGAAAATACTGAGTAAATATATATTTAATTTAATATGCCCAAATGCAGAAAAAATTAATAAATGAATAAATTCACAGACCATTAAAGCCTTAATCTGAATATTAGACAAAGAGGTCTGGTAGCTGTTGCAAAGAATATATAAAGAAAATGTGTTAATATATGGACTTAGATCAGTTAACAGATGTTTGAAGAGTAAATAGCTTTATTTAATAGTGCAAATTAAGTAAAAATAATGTTAAATATATTTTGTTCCTATAATTTTAGCTAAGTCACCTTTAAAATTCCCTCACATCAAGCCTCAACTGAAAAAAAGCAACAACACAAAAATTTAGCACATAAAGTTATAAAGGTTAATGACTGGGATAGATATCACTGTTACTGAAAGCCTAATTGTTCCAGAAATGGTCTCAGAGCTGAGAGGACCTAATTGCATATTTCAGTCTTGGTGATAATTATTACAAAAACATTTTAAGATCATTGTTATTGTAGTTATAATTGTTTGAATTATTTTATAATGTTATTATTCATAACTTCTTAATAAACCTTCAGGTAAAAGTCTGTATGGCACTGGCGAAGAAACAGTATGAAGTCAATTCAAGATCATCATATAACTTTCTTAACATTTTGAAGAGTAAGAGGAATTAAATGGTGTCCTTTCCCTGCTGCTCTATTCATGACTCTTAAATGCTTTCTCAATAAAGTACAAATGATCCAGAAATACCTGACCAAAATAAAAACTGAATCAAATATGTGAGTTGACAATTAAGTATTAAATAGAAAATGTCTATATTTTATTTATGGCATATAGTTTATTTTCTTACCTGAAACCTAGGAAAAAACTAACATTACTGTTGTTATATAAAAATGTTAGGCAGCCTACATACCTGCTAGAAAATGTACAAATACTTTCAATTCACCAAGACTTATAAGATTCAACATTCTCTCTCACTGACAGGAAGCATTTTCCCTAACAAATCTATTATTAAGGATTGTGCCTTACTTTATTCAAAGAGCAACTGAGATATAGTAGGTGCTCAATAAAATTTGTTAAATTTAATTCAGTTCAAACAAATAATAAAATAGACTTAACAACATATTCTACATATGAGCATAATTAATTTACTAAAAGGCGATTCTCTTTTACAGGAAAAATAGGATAGTAGGAATATGGGTCAGAGGGTCAGAAGGCCTGGGTTCTGTCTACTACATGCTTGCTGTGTGAGCTTAGTTAAGATATTTGGCCTCTCTAAATCTCAATGGGCTCAACTATATGTAGAAATTATAATAGCACCTATCCTCAAATGGTTGTGTGAGAATTAAATAGAATAGTATAACCCTGACCGGTTTGGCTCAGTGGATAGAGCATCAGCCTGTGGACTGAAGGGTCCCAGGTTCAATTCTGGTCAAGGGCATGTACCTTGGTTGCAGGCACATCCCCAGTGGGGGTGTGCAGGAGGCAGCTGATCAATGTTTCTCTCTCATCGATGTTTCTAACTCTCTATCCCTCTCCCTTCCTCTCTGTAAAAAAATCAATAAAATATATTTAAAAAAATAAATAAATAGAATAGTATATGTAAAGTAGTTAGCATAATGCCTAGAACCTAATATGTGCTCAATAAATGACAGCTCATATGTGTATATGTATGTGTGTATTTATACATATGTATAGATACATGTACTGTACATGTTTTACTGCTATCTTTATATTGTAAATATAATTAGAAATTATTTTTAATGCTAAATTAGTATGAAATATATTTCAAAAGATTATTCTTAATTATATCATAGTCAGTCTTGAAATAAGAATAAACTCAGTTTTAGAAACAATCCAGCCAAGTTATATCACACTAATCGTGTGCCCTTCTAGATGAAAATTATTAAAAACTGTACTTCTATATTTAGAATGTACTCCATTTTCTATAGTACTTTGAAGGGTTAATAAATAAAATAGCCAAAGTTCGGTCATCAAGTTATAGGCCCTGTAGAACATTGAACATTATTAATAAATCTGTAGGCCCAGATCCAGAAAAGTTCTTAGAACTAATACTAGTCTGTTTTGGAAAATAAAATTCCAATGGAGTCTATGTTGTACTTAAAGTAATTATTAATTTCCCTGAATACTAATTTAAGACACTCAAGAAGAGGACTACTGATTTTTAAGAATCAATATGGATATTCATATAAGTACAGCTATCAATACTTATTCAGAAACATATATTTTCTTATTCTCTAGTTTATAGTACTCAAACAAATAAGAGAAAAAGAATTATAATGAGTCTTGTCTGCATAAAGATCACTGCCCATATAAAGATTAAGGCATATTAGAGAAAAGTAGCACAAACATTAATGTTTAGATCTGAAGAACAGATTTGTGCTATATTTTTCCTTTTATCTGGGTTTATTTTCAAAATATCACATACCTGTCACAAGAACAGCCTTAACAAAAATGGCCAGGACTGCCCAGAAAAGCAAATGCTTCTTCATCTTGCCTTCACTTCTTTTGAAAACTGGAGCTAAAACCGTCAGGGTTAAGGTGTGTATGCTATAAGGAGTGTGCAAATGATGTTGCTTCTGCTTTCTTAAAATAACACTCCAGGCAGCTAACAAACTAAAACCAATCACAACTGTGGCTAAAGTCTGAAATTTTAATGCTGCACTGCGAAGAAATGTATGGCTTAGATTTACCTGTTTTCTTCCAAAGCATCCCCCAAAAGCCACCTTGATGCAATCACTTTTTATTTTACATTTACTCTATCTAATTAATGCAGAAGATTAATAATAATTTCAAAGCAAGAGTCCATTAAGAATGTTAAGTAGGGATGTTTAATGTTATTCCCTAAACAATAAAGTTTTCAAATATAGATATTTGTTGGGCTTGGAACAATAAATAAAGGAGGATAAATGAGCATGTTGGTTACATTTACATACAACATCAAATCTATGTTACTTTGGATTCTGAGTTCTCTCATTTTTTAAGAGTCTCCTAGAATTTTGAGAGGCACTAAAAAATACTTCAGGATCATAAGTAGGCAAGCAGATTTCATAGCTGGCAGTAGAAAACAGCAGAATGAAAGCTATAAAGTCTAGCACATAATTGTTCTCCTTCAGTCAATATGTATTGAAAGTCTAGCAAGAACAAAGTGTCATGCTCTAGAGCACACGATATTGCTATACTGTCAAACTTTACTTTCATTTCAATTTCCACTATCATAGCATTTAGAAACTATTTGGGGTTAAGAAAATATACTGGATTCACATAAACAATTATATCTAGTAGAAAAAGAAACATCTGAAAGCACATTTTAGCAATGTGGTCAGGGTGTCAAAACAAATATTAACCACTTAAGAGCTCCTCGTCTCTAACTGTAGTTTCTAAATAACTAATTTATTCCATCACTCTGAAAAAGAGTATTTAGAAGTTAGCTTGATATTTTTTACAAATTATTATTTCCTTGAAAATAAACTCAAGACTAGACTAGCTCCCCAAAACAATTGGATAAATTCGTGGGGATAAATTAAAGCTTCACAAAAGCTTTTTTTTTAAGCAAAGATTACTTGATTCATAAATATACTATATTTGGTGTTTATATTCTTTCAGTTTTATAGTTTTACTAGTGGCCCGGTGCAGGAAATTCGTGCACGGGGGGAGGAGGGTTCCCTCAGCCCAGCCTGCACCCTCTCCAATCAGGGAACCCTTGGGGGATGTCCGACATCCCTCTTACAATCTGGGACCACTGGCTCCTAACCACTCACCTCTCTGCCTGCCTGATCACCCCTAACTGCCTCTGCCTGCCTCCCTGATTGCCCCTAATCCCTCTGCCTGCCTGTCTGATTGCCCCTGCCTCTGCCTGCCTACCTGATTGCCCCTAACTGCCCTCCCCTGCCAGCCTGATTGCCCCTAACTGCCTCTGCCTGACTGATCACTCCTAACTGCCCTGCCAGCCTGATCTTGCCTGCCCCTAACTGCCTCTGCCTGCCTGATCACTCCTAACTGCCCTGCCATGCTGGCCTGATCTCGCCCCCAACTGCCCTCCCCTGCAGGCCTGATCTCACCCCCAACTGCCCTCCCCTGCCAGCCTGATTTTCCCTAACCCCCTGCCGGCCTGATCTCGCCCCCAACTGCCCTTACCTGCTGGCCTGATTACCC